ACCGCTTACGCGCTATAATCCTCGACAGACGTTTGTCCTTTTTCCCCCCCTTCCTTTTCTTTTCCTCCTCCCCTCTTTTCCTCTTACATTATATAAATGTTTGTCCACGAATATAGTTTTAAATGTATCGCCTGTCTTACGCCTCGTTTGCACTCCCACTTTTGTTTCCTACTTTTGTATTTTTCAATTCTCTCTTCGTTCAATTTCGATTTGAAAATTCTTCTTCCGTTGTTAGAGAAATAAGATCGATAAATTATTTGATCGAAAAGTGGAAACGTATAATTAAATTACCATTGGAAATTGTTAATTATTTCCAAAGCGATTTGCGATGATACACTTGTCGAGAAGAGGATCTTGTAATTTCAATTCGGATAGTTTCTTGTTCGAGTAGTAAGATTGGATACGAAAATCTATAAAAAAGGAGAGGAAGAAGAAAGCCTTTACGTTAGTTTCTCATCGTTAATCAATCGATGGGTCGAGATACCGAAAGTCGGCTTTTATGTTTTATATTACAATAGGTGTATCTGTCAGAACTACGGTTCGGGTAACGTTCAACCAACTTTTCATAATGGACTTACTGTTCGCATCGTGAGACGTTCCTAGGGTGAACGATCGTTTTTCAATGCTGCACCTTCCATTAATTCCGTCGTAGTTCTTGTTTCCACTTTCAAAGAAAAAAAAAGTTAGAAAATTCAGAGCAAAATCCTGAAATACGTGAAATTTTTGATCTAATTCGAGAAATAGAGAAATTCACTTGACTTGACGTCGAAAAGAAAAGAAGGGAAAGTAACAATATTTTTCCAACCGAACGTTTATGCCGAGAAAACTCGAAGAATATCTCGCAAAATTTCCAACGCGTCATAAACTTGGGTCGAACGGCCGCTTCGGCCATGAACTACACCTTGTTCGTCGCTATTTAGAACCTGCACTTTCGCTTTTTCGAGGCACCGGGAAAGGGACCGACAGTTCGTGTCAAAAGATTAACCAACAGAGAACGGATAAGCTCGCACGGCTACTTTGCTCATCGGTGAAACCGCCACCGTGAAATACAACTAAGTCTTTCTTTCAAATTTTCTCCTTTTCCTTCGTTCGTGCGTATGTTTTTAAAATAATGCGTTAATAATCCTTGACGATTATAATTGATTGGTGGCTAAATTCTGTCGAAGAGAATTTTGATGAAAAATTGTTCGAGGAAAATGAATGAGTTTTATGAATAATTTCTATTTCTCGGTCATAATTTTAAGTATCTTTATATAGCCAATAAATGGAAGATTCACTGCAGGTACTTTGCTTAATAACCGTCATAATACGTCTTTGGTGCTTGGATCCCAATTGTCCTAAAAACCATTTTAATTCTCTCTCCAACAGATAATATCTTGTCTTATTTTTGCTACCTGTTGCTGCCAGTAATCCATTATGGATACCTTCTTTTTCATACCTTCTCGAATCTCTTACATATATAGTTACTCACGTTTCAACAAACAAAAATTCTCTTCTACGCCTACCAATTCTATAATTTGCTCCAACATTTAAAATCGTTTGGAAATTGTTGGTATTTTTAAAAATCGATTTTTAACGAATCGATAAATATACGAAATATACAATTTCAAAATTGTTGCAGAAATTAAAAATCCATAGAAAAAAATCGTACGATGAGATATTCTTTTGGAATATTCTTAAATTCTTTCAAAAATTCTTATACAGCCAAATCTCGTACGTTATTATCGTTTAATTATCATCACCGTCGTTCAATTATTAGTCATATTCCTTTTCTTCTCCACTCCTTCTCCCCCTCCCGATGAAGCCACCACTCCTATTCCACGGAGAATTTTTGGAAACCTTTAATCTCCCCTTACCTGTCCCGAGGGATTTTAATTACGTTGGAGTTACGGTCAGGTAGCACGGCCTCGAAACGCAGGTAGTAGTAGTGGTCGTATCAACGAGTCGTCGAAGGGAAGCATCGTCGATCGACGACGTCAGTATTCCGAGAAACGCAGAGCGGTGAACCGGCGATCCTAGGAGGACGAATGCCAGTTGCGAAAAATCGATCGTAGTTAGTCGAAGAGAAGCGATCGAAAAATGATCGAAATTAGAGTGAGTGATTTACTTTTCCGCGTGTTTGTACGTATTTGAAAGCATGTCGTTATGGGCCGGTGGTCCCGCTGAACTTTATCTACGACACACAGGATACAGCCTGCGATTAGATTCTTGGAAACGCGAAGGCGAGAAAAGGATTGTGCAAAGTGTGCGTGAATTATTATTAACCGATTTTCGACACTCGTATATGTAGATCCAGAAAGGTTTCTAAGTGTTGAGTTTGACATTTTCCAAGGGATTAAAATTGATTGGGAATTCAAGGTTTGGTGAAAGTTTCTTTGCGCGTCCAATTGTGTCCGATCGGTGGAAATTTTGAATTCGTTAAAATTGTCAATGAATTTTTGAAACGTTTCTCTTTCTCGTACGTCGTACATCGAGTGTCGAACGTTTAAGAAAATCTGTTCGTTCGTTTTCCTCGAAATTACAGCCGGGAGGGAGAAAAGATTCGCGAAGAAAGTAAGGATAATAGGAAGTCTGGAAAGGGGTCACAGAGAGATTCAGATGGAATTGCCGGTTGCCCAAAACCTTTGACGAGCTCTAGCGGTCGTTGATTAACGGTTGTGGCTTTTCTCGGCCTTTTGTTACGGAATTGTAATACCACGTGTGTGTATTCTCCGCTTTCTCTTTTGCGGAGCCCACCTTTTTCGTTTATTTTTCTTTTGTTTTTTTTTTTTTTTTCCTTTTTTTTTCTTTTTATCCCGGTTTCTAGTAGGTCCTGAATAAAGCGAAGTAGGCACATCATTCGTGCGAAATTCCAGCGATGCTCGATAATTGTGAATTTGCTTTTTCAATCGTGTTTTATCTTTTTTTTTTTTTTTTCTATCGTGAATACCGTTCGTTGAAAACTTGTTAAATGTTACACGTTCTCCTCCCAGTATCGATATTTCGTCCTCTTAGGTTATTTTTTCCATTGGACGAATCGAAAACGAAATTTTTGACAATTTTTAATTAAAATTCGATAAGTTTTTCACAAAGAGGTGAGTTCGTAGTTTAATATTACGATATTGCAGTATTTTTTTTTTTTTTTTTTAGGTTTTATTTCGTTAATAAAAATTTCAATTCAAGAAAGTGTAGTAGTATCTTTTCTATTCTGTTTTATGTTTTATGTAAAATTAGACGGCGTATTATTTATTTATCTTTTTTCACAAATTTATCTTCCGAGCAAGATAATTCAATGAGTGAAGAAATTGTTATCGAATCAATGTTTTCTAATGTTTGTTTAATTCCGTGTTTCATTTTATCTGCGATTGAAAATGGCAAAAAAAAAAAATGTAATTTATCGTATCACGTAGTCACATTGTTATCGTACAATAATTTGTCCTCTAAAGCACTTTGTTTACTAAGAAGTATTAAGAATTCTCTTCTGCGTTAAAATAAAATAAAGATTGAAAAAAGTTCCGATTATTTTGTACGTTCATTTCTTCAATCGAGAATTTATATTTAACTCATCTATTAGAAGAAATGGAATCTAACAGGCTGTTAATATTAAAAATTATTGAAATTAACAACTAAATACATTAGAAATTGAATTCAAATTATTCCAAATTTCACTCGCAAATAGCTAATCATTCGCTCAAATTGCAGCCTCTAACTCTTTCTTTTATTCACTTATATTTTATTATTCCAGACAATGAAGCAGCGCGCTTTTTATTTATTTATTTTTTTTCAAATCTAGATCGTAGAAAGTTGATGAATTCGATGAAACTCGTGTGATCTTTCGTAAGCCACGTTTAGCTATCTAAACGAGATGTAACGATTATCATCGAGATATCTCTACGTTACGCCTTTCGCTCTTTTTGACCGGCAATTAAATTAACCCTTCATGAAGATCAAGTCGTATAATAAACTTTTATCGTTTATTCCATCTGAAATTTTACCAAATCATGATAAAAGATTACCATCAGACAAGAAACAAACGAAATTACAAAATCTTCGCGAAGTATATTCAAAATTGATCGGAGGAGGAAAAGAAAATAGCTCCTCGAAACGGATAACTCCGAATAAACGGACGTGGAAATCTACTTGTCCGATTAACACATGAATTTAATTGATACGACAATAAGGTAGAGGAGGTGTGTATCCAGCAGGTTAATCCCATAAATCACAGGTTTCTAAATTTAGTCGAACCGCGGTGAAATCGGCCGTTAATCTTGCGTTTATTCGTACATACACGATGCACACGCGTTTCCTCTTTGCGATGCGCTCGCGTATCACTCGCGTCCATCGAACGTCTTTCGTTAGTCACGTTGTGTCGATTGCGATGCACGCGCATCTTTTTGTCTTCGACGATTCGAAAAAACGGATCGATCCCGTTTCCGCTCTCGAAACGAGGATAATCGAGTATCGATTAGCATTCGTGATTCCCACTTGAGAGAGAGAGAGAGAGAGAGAATTTTCTTTTTTCTTGCCGACCTTCTTCGTCGACGCCACGACCTCGACGGAAATTTTTGCTCGCCCCAGCGAAATTCGAAGCCTGCTTAAATTTTCGACGGAGTGAAATATAAAAGCAGGAAACGACGTTTTAGTTTATTCACGGAAAAACTGTTGGAACGGCGCCAGTGTAAAATTAGTCGAAAAATTGCGCTTCGTGGCCATTCTCTTTCAAGCGTTCTCCGATTTTTGCTGCTCGAAAGATAGATAGTTTCAAGATTACTCTCGAGAGAACGGTAAATTTATCATCCTCGACGATTCCCAATTTCGACGAAAGGCGTTGTTTCGAAAAGTCCAATCGATGAAAAAACGAAGCAAATCCCTCTGAACGCCCGATTCCCAATTTGAAAGGAAAGGAAGGCTCGCGTGACAAAAGGTGCAATTCGTACGCGTCGTGTGGAGGGGCGTGGTGGTGGTTGGGGCGGCCGAGAGAGAGATAATCAGATGAAACGATTCGGCCGTTTCTGTTGCAGAACTTGGTGCCTTACAGCTGCAGTAGTGACAGCGACGAGGAGCCAGTCACGAAGCAGCCTCGACTCAGCCGCAGACATTCACGGGGTTCTGGAAGGGAATCCCCGGGTCAGTCGGCCCGTTCGACTCGCTCGAAACGCCACAGAGCCACGAGATCGCGATACTACGAGGATCAAGCCGCGAGCAGAGCGGACCTCTCCGATACGGACGCCTTTTCCGAGAATCGATCGATCGGCGATGGATCCTATTTCGAGGTTCGTGCACGAAAATCATTTATCACCTCTTTCTTTCTTTCTTTCTTTCTTTCTCCTCCTTCACCTTCTCTTCTTCTTCTTCTTCTTCTTCTTTTTCTTCCTCTCCTCGCAGCGTGGATATAGCTGGGTTACTTACCTGGCTCGTTTGTAGTAACGAAGTGGTCGTGGAACCGGTATGGCAACGTTTCCCAAACTGTTCCTCCTCAAGAACAATGGAGCACGCGTCGTTGGGAGGAAGTTTGCTTGATTAGCGTGCAAGCCTGCTTTGACGATTGACGCGCGCGTGTGTTGTGCGTTGCGTGTACACTTGTGGGATACGTTAACGAAGGATGGAGATCGGTTGGATCTCGAGAACATTTTTCGAGTCGAATAGTTAAAATAATGGTGCTAATGGTTCGTGACGCGTTCCAGTGATTAATTTTACGTGCATTGGGAATAATTTTTTTTTTTCTCGAGTGTTTAAATAATAGCGAATAAAATTTTTCGAAAAAGAATAATTCGAGATTGAGTAAGTTGAAATATGGATTTCGGGTAAATGTGTTTTTCGTGGAACGTGGTTTCGTAAGAATATCGAGTCAGTTTGGGAGACTGTTTGCGGTTATTCGAGGATGAACGACACCTGACTGCGCGAGTGAACCTGATCCTTATTAGCTAACGGCCATTGTTTCGTTTCGACCACCGTTTTGCATTCCTCGTGCATGCGTTACGTTACATAGTTGAGTCGAACGAAATCGAGAGCACGTTTCATCGATCTTTATAACTCTGTGACTCACTCACTTTTCTCTAAAGCTAAATATTTCCATCTTCTGTGAGGTGTACTTTGTACTTTGACTCCTTCGAATATGGTAAATAATTTCAAAATTATATTTTTTATCACCGTTTCGAAAAGAAAAAAAAGAAGAAAATCGAGAATAATACTCGAAGGAGAGAAGATTAAATAATAAATCGTAATCGGCTGGAAAGATGCAACGGTATCGAACTTTCGTCTTCCACGAATCGTTATTTTTCCCTTGCCAACTCACTTTCTAAACGTCTCAAAATTCGTTCTGTATCTTTATATAAATTACAAAACATCCCTCCAAACAATCTATCTATCATCTCGCGGAGATGATCGTTATTAACGTCCATTGTCTCTTTTCATGGAGAAGAAAATTGATCCCTCGACTTCGATACCGTGCATTCACCTTTCAATATTCTCTCAACACTCTTTGTCTTTGCCCGTTCAAATCTATTTTTTTNTTTTTTAATTTTCATTCGCCATTGTTACACATCGAATCGAGATCGAGAAAACATTTACTCGATAATTGGGGGAGGGGGGGGGGGAACAAGTGAAATTCTCGAATCGGACTTAATTTTGATCGAATTAAGAGAGAAAAAAATTGGTCTCGAAAGGGTTAAGGGGAAAGTAGCGGCGTGAAATCGAATTGGACGAAAACGAGGTTGTTCCTTCGTCGTATCGTCGATAGCATCAAGACTCTACACGTTTGTTCGTCACACGTGCGTTACCAGTGTGAATGATCTATCGTTCGCGATGTATATATATATAACGACACAACAACAACAACAACAACAACAACGTGATTATGCGTGCGTGGCGCGGAACGCGCGCGGTTCCACGACGTTCATTTCGTTTCATCTCTTTGTTCGTAGGTGAAATTGATTTATAAGATGTTGAATTAATCGTCCCTCGAGAGTGGATCCACGTTCGAATTATCGTTCCCCTTTGTCGAAAGTTTATCCTTTCGAAGATTTATTATTGAAATTTTTACGGCGAACGAGCGATTATTTTCTATTTTCGATCGTCTTTCTTTTTAATTTCGATTAATTTTCAACGAGAATCTGTTTGAAAAATTGAAAAATTTCAATATTCCTTTTTTTTTTTATTATCGATCATTTCCCACTCGAAACTAATTTTTTTTTATTATTCATTTACTGGCAGCGCCTACGTCTATCCTTTCGTATCCATCTCTTTGTTGTTACCTTTGTTGAATGAAATTGATTTACGACGAATTTTTTATTACGTAAATTAAACTTTCGATTCGAGTCAAAAAATAATTTATCGTTTCGCATTCGTCTCTTTAAACCGTGGTTTTCGATCGACAGAGAACCTGTTGACACGAAAACTGACTTCCATTATTATTATTATTATTATTATTATTATTATCATCGAAATCTTTGAACGAGCGGATGAAAGTATACGCGAAGAATACGTTTCGTAGAATACGAGTATGAAAGAATATTTTTCTTATTCCAGTTTCTTTTTCTTCCTCTCCTTTTTCGTTCGTAAGCTCGAAAATTTTTCTCGTTCGAACCGCGTTGCTCTGCTCGAGCGGAATCGAGAACTCGACTCGGGAGGAGAAAGTGCATGGAGGAGCCTTTTACCTTTTCAAATATTCACCAGGCGAAATAAAATAAAAATTGAAATTGACGCGTAATTACGCGTACGTGACATCGAGGAACGCGCCTCCATTGTGTCGACCTTGTCTCGAGCGAATACGTGAATATCTATGAACCCCACTCGCTTGTTCTATCTTCATTTTCCTGAATCGTCGTACGGAACGAGATTCGATCTCGAATTAGATCCTGTTTTAAATACCATTTGAAAAAAAAAAATCGATATTTTATCAAATCTCCCGATAAAATCTTAACCAGATACATCTAATCGGATATCTAAGGCAAATTACGTAAAGATAGCTTGATTTCTTGATTCGAAATGATTTGCTGGATAGCGAGCGATTGGTTTGCTTCTTGTTCGCTTCACCTAGATCGATCGAAATTCGCCTTTCTTCGTTTCGCCGGAATAAAATCGAACGAGAGCGCGTTACGTTAAGGAATCGACCGAGGGTAATAAAACACTTGGAAGCGTGAAATTTTCACGGTTGCGTCACGGCCGATTTTACGGAGCACGAGAAAGAGAGAGAGAGAAGAGAATCCGTTTTGTCGAGCAACAAACAAGAACGAGAGGGGGGAATGGCAAGAAATGGAACGAGCCACGCTTCAAACGAATCGTACACACGTTTCTTTTTTTATTACACGTGATGGAAAGGAACCCATCTTACGCGCGTTGCCACGCGATATTTTGCGTAGTATCGTAGCCAGTTAGCGGCCTGATCGATAATTAACACTTCTTATCGTGGAAAATAATCTGTGCACGCGCCATCAGTCGCGGAGCAGCGATGGGAGCGCGAGGTTCTCGACGATGCCGCGCATTCTTCCATTCCAACTCTTCGCTCTCCCATATTTTTGAAAAAAAAAAAAAAAAAAGAAAGAAAACGTTTCTCATTGTTCTCTCGTTGTTCGATCGAAATCGAGGAGGAAATGAATTATTGACGATTGCAGGATGAACTGTGCCAGCTGTGTGTGATGGACATAAAGTCCGAGGGAGTGGAAAATACGCAAGAATAAATCGAATCTCGTGCGCGTCGGTGGACCAGGCCGAGGAGGGCGATATCGAGGAGGACGCGGTTACAGAGGACGAGGAATACGATATGCCACCCATACCGGACACCGTCCCGTTGACAAATTCGACGGCCATCGTGGAGAGTTGCGATCAGATCGACGGCCAATCCGGGAACGTGGAACAGTCGAACGGCAATTTGCCCGCCAACGAGCCGGTCAAACGTCGAAGAACCACGCCCGAGGAGGTCGCATCTTTTAACACGTAAGACTTTTATCGACATTTTTTTATCGCGACTTCGTTTGAACGAATATATTCACTCGACGATAGTTCCAATAGTTCGATTCTCGTCTTATCGTTATTTTATCGTCTGATAAAATCGTAAATTTCGCCAAACTCGCAGATAGCTTCGATGTTTGTATCGAAACGAGAATTCCTTTTCATGGATGGAATTTTAATTTTTAATCTCGAGGAACGGGATTATTTTCCCAATTTCTTCCTACCTACAGTTTATTGCCAAGAAACACAACACTTTTGCCCTTCCTTCCTTCCTTCCTACCCACCTCTTTTCTAATCCGTTCCGTTTATTAGATCGGACAGAAAATCGAAGAACTACGCGACCTTCTACTTCTGCCACCTGGACACCGACTCGGAGCAGAACGAGGAGGCGGGGATCGTGGTGGAGGACTCGTCCGAGGAGGAGTGGACGTACACGTCGTCGCGCGGGAACAACACGGTGGCGGCCGAGCAACGAAAAACGAACGTGTTGGTGCGGCTCGACTTCGGCGAGGGGGATATCCCCGAACCCCGGCCGGCCGTGGACATTGCGAAAACGAGCGAGATGAAGCCTGTCAACGAGGCGCGCAACACCGTCTCGGAGGGTGTCCTCGACGAGACTTCAAACGAAACCGACGAAGCGTCCTCCCAACGCGAGAAGGACAGCGACGACGAAACGAGGAACGACAAGACGAGGATACAGAGGCTGATCAAGGAGGTGGAGAAATTGGTCGGGGAGGAGAGGCGCAACGGCGCCCCGAGGACCTTCTCTCAGCTGATTCTCGACGACAAGGGTAGCGGTATCGCGAATAATCACAGGGCCAAGTACGCGAGGATCAAGGAATGGCTGAAATTGAACAACGTACGGGGCCACGAGGGACGATCCACGCTACAGGTAACGCCATTTCCCCCCTTTCGAAAATCTTCACGAGCCAATTTTTCAATCGAATCGCTTCCTTCGTGCCGCGTTCGTACGAAGCGTAATTATTTGGAACGAGCGGTGTCGAACGTGCGCGCGCCATTTGCGTGCAAGGAAGAGGAGGAGGGGACGATTATAAGGTTTCGTAACAATGAACGCGAATTACAGCCGTTGGATAGCTGCGATGCGAGCGGCGAATACACGACGGAGGATTCGGACGTGGAGAGGCAGTCGGTCTCGTCGGAGGATCTGCAGAGCAGCGTGGCTACGTATCGAAGATTCGAGGGGGCGCTCGGCTGCACGTCCGTGTCGCAGGAGATATTCGACGACCCCGAGAGAACACCGGTGAACGAGGGCCATCCGATGCTGTGCGTGGTGGACGCCTCGGCCACGCCCAAGGTGGTGATGCGGCCCAAGCAGAAGACGAACGGGCCCAGGCCGTGGAGCGTTTCCTGCATCTCGCAGATCGGCAACAATTCCAATTTGAATCAGACCAACGACCCCATCTCCCAGTTCTCCATCAGCGAGACGGCGTTGCATCAGCTCATCGCCACCCCGCCGACCAAGTCCGTGTCCCTCGATGCAACGTGAGTCGTCTTTTCTTTTTTTTTTTTTGTCCACGAATTTTCTTTCCACGAAATCGTCGATTCGTTTCGCGACAATCCTCGATTCGAACAGCTTTTGTGAGAAAATATGAGATTATAGCATTTTGACGGTAAGCGTGATCGACGCGCATTATTCAAATCCATCGCGTGCCGGTAAGCTTCCAATTGCCTCCTCTCTCTCTCTCTCTCTCTCTCTCTCTCTCTCTCTACTACTACTA